GAAGGTGGGCGACTTCGGGTTCGCCACGGCCAAGCAGGACAACGGGACGCAGACCCGCTGCGGCACGCCCTGCTGGACGGCGCCGGAGATCATCAGCGGCACGACGGCCAAGTACTCGGAGAAGGCCGACGTGTACTCGTTCGCGATCGTGATGTGGGAGGTGCTCACTCGCAAGGCCCCGTACCAGGACAAGAACATGATGACGGTCGCGCTCAACGTCATCAACGGCGACCGCCCGCCGGTGCCGGCCGACTGCCCCAAGGCCTTCGGCGATATCATGCAGCGCGCGTGGAAGGCCAAGCCCGACCGACGGCCCACCATGGACGACCTGCTCATGTACTTCAACTCCGAGCTCGGCACCGACAGGGTCTAGCTCCAGCTCTAGCTCTAGAGCTCTCCCCCCACCCCACCCCCAATCCTATGTGTACCACTAAAGAAATACATCAGTGTAAATATCAACCAGTGCAGGCAACAGGCGTACGGGTTTATTTGGGCCACTTGTCGGTTAGGTACTCGTTGACTCGGTCGGAGCCCTCTCCCACGGCACGCAGCGATAGCACTCGCACTGCATGGAGTGTGCTCAGCAGGCGTGAGCGAGCGAGTGACGGGCGAGTGGGAGAAAGAGGAGAGTGATACCGGTCTCAACGCGCAGGCCGACCTTTCGGCGATCGAATTCGCGGTTGAGGGCGGACAGGAGCGGCTGGTCGAGACAGGCGGTGTCCTCGATGAAAAGCTTGATGCTCATCTGGGCCACCGTGTCTCGGAGGACCTCGCGCACGACGGGCTGCGCCGGGTAGGGGAAGTTTTCGGCCATGCCGGGGAAGTACATCATGTCGGCCGGACCCACCACCTTAAAGTCGAGGCTGACGCTGATCACCAGCTCCACATCCTCCTCCGTTTTAACCGTTCTGCACCATCGCACGACGCGACACAACGCGCCGTGCGCGCGCAGGACAGAGAATGGCGTGAGCCGCGGACAGTCGAGCTGGTGTGTGTTGGTGCGTGCGTGCGTGCGTGCGTTCGCGTGCGCCTGTGCGGTGTGCGTGCGTGAGTTGTGTGGTGCGGTGTGGTGCGGTGTGGTGTGCGTGTGTGCGTGCGTGCGTGCGTGTGTGTGTTCTTAACGTGCACGATAGATGACACACGTACTCCTGGTTGACCTTGATGTTGTGTACCTCGAGGAAGTTGACGATCATGAGCTCCTTGCCCTTGTTGGCGTCCTTGTAGATCTTGATGCGGTCCTTGAACGGATTCAACTGACGCAGCACCCACACATCGCCCGACGAGCAGCCACCTGGTGAGAGTGTCCCCACGAAGGAGCAGACCAGAAGAGTAAAGGAGGTACCATATGTCGGCCAGCCAGCAGTACTCGATTGTACTCATCTTTCCTTTCAACCACCACCGCTTCATTGGTTGGCACCTGCGCCCACGCAGGCAGGAGCAGTTGTGGTTTGTGGGGGGGGGGCAGAGCCAAGGTCAGCAGCATCCGTGGCGCAAGGCTTCTGGCACCGGGTCATGTGGGTGGCATTGCATGACAACGAGCGTACCTTGTAGTAGGTCTTCTTCACGGGCGGAGGTGCAGCTGCCATCTTTGTGTTCCCAGCGCCAAAAAAATTAATGAAAAAGCTTTTATCATTTCTTTTTTTTCTTTTATTGGCGTGGTGCCGCTAAGAAATAAATTTAAAAATAATGACCTTTTTGTTCTTTTATTTGGCGGTTGGTGAGATCAGCAGAGGCCGCCCTTGTCGACGAACTTCCTGATGACGTCGACGACGTCGTAGACCACGGCGGCGAGGAAGAAGGAGCCGAGCACGTAGGCGAATCGCGAGGCAAAGGGCTGCGGGAGAGGCAACGGGATGTAGGACGACAGGTTGCGACCATAGCGAGACGACACCACGGCCATCAAGGCGATGAACAAACCCGCCTCCAAGTTGAGCGCGAAGCTCGCTGTATAGTCCAAAAGCAATCTTAGCATTTCGTGTGCGTGTGTGCGATTGTGTGTGTGTGCGTGCGTGCGTGTGTGCGGAGCGTGCGTGGGTGCGTGCGGAGAAGGCGCACCGAAATACTCGAGCATGACGAGGAAGCAGGCGGGCTTGCCGACGGCGAAGCCAATGCTGAGGCCGAAGGAGATGAGGTAGAGGACGATCTTCAGGCCGGTCTCGACGCTGAACCAGGAGAGGTGGAGGCTGCGCGCCTGCACGTTGTCGAAAAAGCCGGTGATCTTCATGGCCAGCCCGCTGCCGTTCTCGGCGCTGGCCTGGATCTTGCTGGAGAAGGTGAACGCATAGCCTGCACGTGTGCCGGCGATGGGCGAGGTGAGTGCAAGTGGTGGTGGCTCCTCGCTATTCACGAGCGAGTGACAGTCGTACCGTCGAGGAAGTTCTTGAGGCCGCTGCCCACGGTGATGAAGGAGATGGAGATCGACACCACGATGAAGACCTCAACGATCTTGGCGATCCACTCCAGGTCGGGCTGGGTATCGCGGATTACCTCCGTCAACGGAATCTACAGCGCCAGACGCACAATCGAGCAAGCATACGGGTGAGTCGGGGAGGGGGGGCTCACCACGGTGACAATGAGGCGACAGAGGGAGGTGCGTACGGTGGAGATGCAGCCCTTATCGGCGGCCTCCTCCAGTGAGGGTGCCGGACCGGTCTGGGGAACGGCGAGCATGACGAAGAGGGTCCACAGCACGATGAGGACCGAGCACACGCACAGGCCGACGCTCACGGCCCACCTGAACTTGCGCACTTCGCCCGTGCGTTGCGGCACCTTTTTTGGCCGTGGCACACAACAGCAACGTTAGCGACGAGAGGCGAGAGAGTACGCGGTCGGGTGTGGTGACTGTCGCACCTTGTTGAACACGAGGGGCATGAGGTTGATGGCGCCGCCGAGGGCCACCGTCGACATGAGGAACGATTCGGCGATGTGGGACCAGTCCGAGTCGATGCTCTCCATGATGTCCAATCCAACGTAGGCGGTGACGGCGACCATCAGCACCAACAAGCTGCCTGCGGAGGTTGAACTGGGCTATTAGAATCCTGGGCGTGCACTAGTCCTTTGCCATTGTATGAGCCACGCACCCTTGACGGCGGTCATGAGCGAGACCACGGAGGTGAAGAGGCGCTGGCCAAACACCACGCACACGGTGAAGCCGACACCGAAGGTGACGATGATGAACCGCAGGTTGCGCTCGTCCTCGCTGGAGGGATGCGCCTTGCAGCCACCCTCGAGGCCAAACACCTGTTTGTGTTCGAGTCAGCGGTCAGTCATGAAATGAGCGGGAAGTCGAGTGGGGTGGCAGAGCGACGTACGCCACCCCAGGCTTCGGAGCCGGCGAGCACGTAGGAGATGAGGATGGCGAGGAAGTGCAGGAACACGCAGAGATCGAAGATGTATCGCAGCCACACGTTCAGGAACAGCCGGCCCATGGAGTGCAGGTTGAGATCAATCTCCTGCACCCTGTGCACGACAAAGACCCATAAAACATGATGAAAGCGCGTGAGCGGCCTGCTGAGGGGCAATGGTGAACGGCGCTGCAGGTGTGGAGTGCACGCATACGAAGCCGGGTTGTCGCTGTTCTCTTCGTTGACGACGGACTTCTCGGAGCTGTAGAGCTGATCCTTCTCGTACGGCAGCGGCTTGTACGACGCCGAACCCCTCTTGCCCGACGCCTCCTGCAGCCACATGAGGGAGGGAGTAGTCAGTCAAAAAAAGCTGAACTGTGCGAGGGAGGAACAAAAGACCAGGCGGGAGGCAGCACGACGGGTGGGAGTCGGCATGCATGCCTTCCATCCTACATCGGCTGCCTCGCCATCTTCTCTCTGTGCGTCGTCTTCTTCATCTTCCTCATTTGTGTTGACGTTGATCATGGTGTTGCTATCGTCTGGTAATGATGATGATGATGATGAAGAAGATGATGATAACGGTTGAATGGAGGCGGGTAGTACTTCTCGGACAGAGAAGCCGTCGGCAGGCTTGGCGAGCTCGAGCTGCTCCCGGGCCTTGAGCTCGTCCAGCGAGCCGATGCCCAGCCGCATGATGGCCCGCGACTGTTGGAGCAGCTCCACAAAATAAATGATCACGCCCACCTGCAACAGCCCAACAAGCACGCACAGGTCAGCATACAATAGTATAATTAAATAGTATAATTAAATCTATTTCTGAATTATCTATTTTGAATAAATGAAAGAAATGATTGGGAGGTGCGCGGAACCTCAAAGATGAGGACGATCAGGAAGATGACGAGGAAGGGAAAGAAGCCAGAGTTGGCAGTCTTGACGGGCAGACCAAGGATGCCTGTGCCCAGCACCGAGGCGATGGTCACAAAGAAGCTGTGCACCGGGAGGGAAGAGATTTTGTGAGATTTCACATAGTCCAATTAGCAAGCTCTTTGCTGGGCAGAAGCGTAGAGAAGAGAAGCTCACAGATTTGAGAGGGGCGAATGAATGGACGTACCAACCGATGTAGTACCAATTGGACTGCCGTTCAGGATCGTCCCTGATCCCGAAGCATCGCTCCATGACTCGCTGCATCATCTCTCGATTCTTGTTGTGTTGCGAGCTTGGCGCGCGGATGGAGTCAGTCTGCTACTTGCTTGCCTCGGTGACGCAGAGCTCGAACACAACACCCTTCTGGAAAAGGCGCTCGACGAAGTCCAAGCGGTTGGTGCGGGCGGGTCGACAAATTTCTTCCCCAGAGAAACGGCACACAACCCACGCTCGGTGGCTTCCTCGCCCTGTTCCCGCCCCAGAAGCACCACCCGGCCATCTCCACCGAGCTCTCTCTTTCTCTCTCCGTCTGTGCCCCTCCACGCCCTTTTCCACCACCGCCACGCCAAAGAATGAAGGATGAAAAGAGAATGCAGTTTATGGGATGTAGCAATGCAACAGGACGAACAGGGAATGGGCGGTGGTGGCACTCGAGCCGACTGAGAGGATTGGGTGAGTGTGTGTTCTTTGTTCTATTGCTGCTGTTTGGTGAGAGGGTGATGTGAGGGTGAGGGTGATGGTGGAATCATCGTCGTCGTTCTCGTTCTCGTTCTTCTCGTCGTTCGTGAGGAAACTTGGCGCTGGCACCGACAACGTGTTGGAACGGACACGCATCGCCGTTACGGCAGCCCTGCGGCGAGTTGAAGAAGGAGCACAGTCGCTGCTTCCGGTCGTCCCTTCCCCAATTTCCCCCGCCGCCGCCACCTCCTCCGCCCGCGTGGCTCGGTCCGCCGTAGCCGCCGCCTCCACCGTGTCCTCCACCGGTGTGTCCGCCATAGCCTCCTCCGCCGCCGGGTCCGCCGTGCCCTCCTCCTCCAGGGCCGCCGTAGCCTCCGCCGGGAGGTCCGCCCATCGGGTAGCCGCCGTGTTGGGGAGGCGGTCCGCCGTACTGCTGCGGGGGCATGCCACCACCGCCGCCGAAGGGCGGAGGACCCATGCCGCCAGGGCCTCCGCCCGGCCCCATCCCACCACCGTAGAGCGGCGGCCCCTGCTGGTCCTGCTGGCATCCGACCATTGAGTGGAGAGGTCAGGTGGTTGGCATTAGGAAGAAGAAGAAGAAGAAGACAGAAGGGGAGGGAGGGAACTAGTACCCGAGGGGGATAGCCTTGCTGCTGGGCTGTATGAGGTGGGGCGGGAGAGGCGCGGTGGGCTGGCTGGGGTTGTACATCATCCCGGCCGACGGCGGAGGACCCATCGAAGGCCCGCCCATGGGTGCGCCCGGCTGTGCCAAGTTTATATTTGGGACCGGGAGGCCGCCCATGAATGGAGCGCCTGCGGGAGGGCCGCCGGCGACGCCCTGCGGGAGGGAGGCCAGCAGGGACGAGAGGGCCTGGTTGTCGCCGAGAAGGGAGCCCAGGGCCTGCGGGTTGGCGAGGAGGGCGTTGAGCGCCTGCTCCATGTTGCCGCCGGCGGGTTGGCCGATGGGTCCGCCCATGGCGGGCGGCGCGCCCATCATCGGAGCGCCGTAAGGGGCGCCCATGGGCGGGCCGGCGAGATTAGGCTGCGGCTGGTGCATGGGCTGCGCGAGGTGCGGCGGAAGTTGCTGCTGCTGCTGCTGGAGTGTCGGCGGAAGTTGCTGCTGCTGCTGCGGTGGCGGTGTGTACATCTCGTCGAGCGGGATGAGCGGGACGGACGCGTCGTCGTACTCCTCCTGCGCCTCGGCCGGCTCGGTCGGGGTGGGAGGGATATCCTCCTCTCGCGAATAGTACTCGCCCAGGATCTTGCTCTGCCGCTCCCTCTGGATGCCCATCTCCTTGCTCTTTTCCCCCATCGCCACTTTGTACTCGGGCGACATATACAGCAACTGCGGCGCCTTCCACGGCACTGTTGCAGAGAAGGTGGGAGAGGGAGGGGGAGGGGGGGAACGGCACAGACACGGTGAGCCCACCACAGCCGGCGAAATGTGGCACAACTTCGGGGCGGAGAGAGCGCGGCCCTACCTGTTGCGGTCATCTTTTCGAACCGTTCCTTCCATTCGCCTTCCTCATGCTTCCGCTGTTGATCCGCCACTTCCTTTTCGCGCTGCTTCTCCAGCTGCATCATCGCAGCGAAGCTGCCCACTGGTCGCGGCGCATTCCCCATCTAGAATAGAAAGCGGACGGGAAAGTGTTAGTTTGGGAAAGAGCCGCGTGTGGTTGCGAATGGCGGGGATGGCGTACGAGAGATGGCAAATACTTCTCGAACATCTTGACCTGCACGAGCTTTTCGTCTGACGCCCAGGACACTCGCTTCTTTTTCTTCTTGGAAGCCCGACCCTCTCCTTCGTCGTAGCTAACGTCCGCGGAGTCCGGGAACGCTTCCTCGTCATCGTCCCTCTGCCTCTTCCCGGGATCCGAGTCCCGCCGCGTTGAGACCAGCGGAGGCGAAAGCGGAGACGCGGCGGCGGCACCAGAGCTCTTCGCCTTCTTGATGTCGTCCGCCGACAAAGGCTTGGACTTGTAGGAACCCACGCCCTTGGCAATCGGGTGCGGAGCGGTCACATCCTCTTCGATCAGCTGCACGGCGTGCCTTCTCCTCTTGACGTCTGCAGTGGTGTGGGTGAATCGATTAGTCGCCCTCAATACAATCTGAGGCATAACGCCGAGCCAAGGTGGCGTACGGTCGGGTATGAGGCCTGTCAACTTGCGCTTTTCGGCTACGGGCCTCGGCTTGGCCGGGCCAGCAATGAGGTCGTCAAAATCCTCGCTTGCAGATATCTTCAGCTGCGGACCCGGCTTCGCAGCTTTAGGCGCTGCTGGTGTCACCTCTCTGCAATGTCACTCGTGCATTAGAACAGAATTCAAGACTCGGTATCTTCCCCGGTAAACGGGAGGAGATGCCAGCAGCCACTTACCTTGTTCGCTTCATGCCTCGTGCAGCCGTCGGTGACACTTCCTTTTCCTTCTTATCGAGCCGCGCCTTCTCGGCGGCGGCCTTTTCTTCGGCAACGTCTTTCTTGGCCGAAGAGCTTTCGGCCTTCTTTGACGCATTGAGCACCACGTCCTACAAATCAACAAATCAAAAAATGAGTACCATTCCCATCAAATAAGGTGACCCTCATCGGCGAGAAGCGGAGGAGTGTATGGGGCTAACCTTCCAGCTGTTCATGATCCTGACGGCCCACTTCTTCACCACTTCAGTGGGATGGTTCTCGAGCTTCTTGATCAGCTTGCCCATGCCGGACTTCTGCAGCGTCTCGACAGTCATCGGCAGGGTGTAGATGACCTTCAGCAGCTGTCGGACCAGCTGCGTGTTCTTTTCCTTGATCGCTTGAATCAGCCACGCCTTGAGCACTACCAGACCGTCGTTGTCGATGAACCTGTTGTAATGGACGGGGAGGTGAACCGCTCGTGTGAGACACTTACTTGTGAAGGTCGTTGAGTGTTGGTCGGGGGGGGGCGTACACTTTCTTTAGGTCCAGGCGTCGCGAGTTGGAGACGATGTTGAGCAAGAGAGACTGGGCGTCGGGAGACTTCTCCTCGGCCATGATCTTCTGCAGCTTGATCATCTTCTGCGGTTCTGAGACCCCTCCTTGCCGGTCGACGATGTCGAGGAGTTGTTGATTTAACGTTGCTTCCTTCCGCGACTGGTGGGTGATGAGGGGAGGCGAGAGTTAATATTTATTGCTGCGCTCAGAGTGGAGCGCTGGCCGACAGACACACAAAGTAAGAAGAAGAGATGCGATGGGCGATGCAGTTGCTCGATCGAGGGAGGCTGCCACCGTCCGGTCCCGACAATGGTCGGTCCATGTTGCAGTGCAAATGCCACCATCACTCGACGCAAACCGGACAAGGAAGGAGGGAGGAGCTCAAAGCATCGCACGCCCCGCTCCCCCGTAATGGCAACAGCATGAGAAAGCATTTCGCTCCAGGCGTGTACCTCTGGTGACTCCGTTGCCTTTGTGGTCTCTTGCGGCTTGGACCTCTTTTCGTGGTCCTGTTTGGCCTTTCTCACCTTTTTCAGCGCCTCGATGGTCTTCATGGGAGGGTAGAACAGTTACAAACTCGTGTCAACAAGCGCAAGAGAACTTCAACTAAGAGAGCGGTGAACGCCCTTACCTCTTTTTCGCCCATGTTCACTTGTGGAAGCAACTGCTTCAAGTCCTTCTTCGTTGGCTTGGGGTAGTCTTTGAGAAACTGGAGGAAGACTGCGAGCAGCTCTGGCTTCATCCCTAAACAATCGAGACGTGTATCAGCGCTTGTCCTTGTCTCAGGGACATAGACGGGGGGCACCTGGCACTGCGATGGCTGGCCGAGGCGCAGGAACGCCTTCGGACTTGACTGCGGCTCGCGTGTCAACGGCCTGCACGGGATGCGACAACAACACGGATGAGACTCCACATCTGTCGCATCGAGAATCGAGTGGATCGCGTACCTGCCCAGTTAGGGGATCTACCCCAGTGAGCAGCTTCTGAGTCGCCACCAGCCGATGGAAATCACGTGTCTGCGCTTTGTAGACATCGACTTGCGAATCGAGGCGCCTCTGCCAGCTGTCTGCCTCAACGTTGGGATTGGGCGGCAGCGCTGCAAGATGAAGCGATCAATTGTCAATCTCCATCATGGGCTGCCAGAGTAGAAATTACGGCGTGTCCGCCTGCACGAAGTGGGGCGTCGTACTCAATGGAGCAAAGGCATGATGATCGCTCCTGATGGCTTGTCCAGACGAGTCGGCAGCAAACGGCGCGTAGGCAGACTCGGTGCCGAAGAGGTTCTCGGAGAGGATGCTCGAGGGGTATGGAGGTGGTGAAGAGTTGAAGTCGAAGTTGGGATCGCCAAGGCCCGAGAAGGTGTCGTCGTCTGCACCGCCATCGATCATGGACTCGGCCTCGCTATCGTTCAAATGGAAGCTCTCCTCTTCTTCGTTGTGCAGTCCCCCATCATCCCCAAATTGACCGTTTCCCTCGTTCTCAAAAGAAAAGCTCATAACTTCGGCCATGCGGTAGGCTGCTCGCCCTTCCCTTTGCTGCCGTGCGATGTGCCTTTACGCTGCGTAAATTGAGGATCTAGAAACCGTTGGCGATGCTACTTTCAAAGCGAGCGATTTTTACCCTCACCGCACGAAAGAAGTAGAATTTTCTGAGCGGATGCGAAGTTTGATTGAGCGCAATGCCACCTGTGGGAGCGCGAAGATTACAAGAAGCCTGGAACGGTTTGGGAAACAGAAAGGCCAGACTGTGTCAGGCTGACGTCACCTTCTCCCGTGGGTAGAGAGAGCGCTTGAATCTCGTGGTGTTTCCCATTATCGTCGACGCCCGAAGAAATGTCGTGCCCGCCTTCGTTGAATGCTTTTGGGGGCGAAGGGCAAAACCAGCACGGCACGCGCAATCGAATCGCGCGAGTGGTTGCGACAAAGAGAGATGGCTTCCTTTCCCTATGAGTACATCTTCAAGTACATCATCATCGGCGACATGGGCGTGGGCAAGTCATGCCTGCTGCACCAGTTCACTGAGAAGAAATGTAAGGTTCCCCCGAACCAAGGGGGATGTTGATTTTTCTTAATCTCACGCTATTGCTGCAGTTATTCCTGATTCGCCACACACCATCGGCGTAGAGTTTGGAACGCGCATAATCGAGGTTATGGGCAAGAAGATCAAGCTGCAGATTTGGGATACTGGTACACGTTGCCCCGCCCCTCTTCATTCTATCTTTGACAGGTTTATCTAACACGTTTCCTGCAACATGTGCAACAGCCGGGCAAGAGCGGTTCCGGTTCGTGTGCCTACAAGGCCTTGAAGACTCTTCAGAGAATCAATCTCACATCTCAATTCTCTATCAAATGCAGAGCGGTTACGCGCAGCTACTATCGTGGCGCTGCTGGCGCGCTTCTTGTGTATGACATCACGAGGTGCCCATCTCTCCCCTCCCCCAATCCCCATTACACGACCTTTGGCCCAGCTTGCCAACTCTCTCCTTGTGCCCACCAGGCGGCCAACCTACAACCACCTCACAAGCTGGCTCACCGACGCGCGAAACCTTACCAACCCCAACACTGTGATCATGATGATCGGCAACAAGAAGGATCTCGAGGACCAGCGAGACGTCACCTACGAAGAGGCCAGCAACTTTGCTAAGGAGAACGGACTCATCTTTCTAGAGGCCAGTGCCAAGACGTACGTCTCCTGCTGGAGAGCTGTATGGATGGGATCAATGCCTGATGAGGACGCGCACACCTGCGCCGCTCCAACTACAGGGGCGAGAATGTCGAAGAGGCCTTCCTGAAGACAGCAAAGCTCATTTTCCAGAGCGTGCAGGACGGAAGGTACGCTTAGCCACCTTTGCCACGCCACACCGCACCCCCCATCGCCCTCTTGCCACTGTACGGCGTGCTGATCGTGGTGCACCACCCTGCACAGTGTTGATGTGGGCTCGGACATCGGTGTGACGAAGAAGACGCCGCTGGTGCCGCCAAGCGGCGGCAGTGGAGGAGGTGCCGGAGACGGAGCCGGCGGCTGCTCCTGCTGAACGCCGCCTGGTGTGGCGGGACGGACTCGATAGGCACCACCAAAACACGGAGCTATCGCGCACATGGACATAGACCACCGGGGGAAGATGGGGCGAGGCCTGAGAAGCGAGCAAGCGCATGAAAGAGAGAGAGAGAGAGATGGAACGACACACCGGCAAGGGCCTCGATGGTGCAGGAGGAACCCAACTGCGCAGGAACGACGCAGGGCAAGGACGAGAAGAAGCAAGATCGTGGCTTGGCCAAGGTGTGCGGGAGAGGAGTGTCCTCCACGAAGGCAGGCTGTATATTTTGGTTTGAGATAAATATTAGACTTCGTCTGCACCAAGGAGACTTCTTCTTGTTCTTCTTCATGATCACCCTACGCGTCGTGCCCGTCGGCATCAACAACCGTTGTTGCCAAGGCCGCTGCTGGGTTAGGCGCGTCTGATGGTTTGGGTCGAATGTTGTGTGCGAGGTGGAATCAGCTGGCGGGGCCGGTGGTGAGGCGGAAGCAGTCGTTGACGATGTAGTAGGTGCCCTTGCCGGGCTCCTGTGCGAGGATGAAGGTCTCGTGAAAGTGTCGTGGGTCCTCCTTGGCGTACGTCACCGTGCCGACAACGACCACGAAGATGTTGGAGGCCTGTGGCGACTCGGTTCCGTCTGCACCCGTACAGCGAGGGAGTGAGCGTGGCCGCCGAGAGGTGGCGCAAGGGCAGGGGCGGGGGCGCACCGGCAATGGGCTGGCAGTCAATGGACTGGATGTTGTGCGTTGAAGGAGGCAGCTGCTGGAAGAAATCACGCAGGGTCTGCAGGCCCTTCTTTGCATTGCCGTTCCAGATGAGCACGGAATCCTCGCGGTAGAATCGGAACAGCTCGTGCCGAGAGCTATCGTACACCCGATAAAAGTACTCCTGGAGCAGCGACAATGAAATGGATGAGATTAATAATCTCACCTCCATAAATACAATCGGCGTTCAGCATTGCACAGCCGCACCTTCACAAAGATCTCGCCGGCACGGGCGTTTGTGTCGATTAGTGTGGCCTTCGCTGTGCTCATCTCGTCTTGCAATTTGCTTTTGGCGGGCTCTGTATTATTTTATTTTTTAAGAACGAGAACTGCTCATGCACTGTGATGGTGTAGTGTGTTTCACATAGGGAGAATGTGCTCCCAACTCAACATGTTACGGCGCATCAGAGAGCGAGCAGCTTGCGGATGATGTCGGTCAGGGTGATCATCGCCTGGGGTCTCCCCTCAGCATCCACCACCCAAGCGCGGTGCTTCCCGGCGTCGAGGATCGAGCCGATCACCTCGTCGAACAGCGCGTTGGGACCGAATTGGAGGTAGTCCTATTCACCCAATCCATCAGATTGTGCGGTGGTAAGGCCTGTGTGTGTTGTGTGTGTTGTGTGTGTGTTCACGCATACCGTATCGCCGAGACTGAGCGCGGGGAGGTAGATGCGCTTGAAGTTATGTACAGACAGCGTGCGCAGACTGTCGGCAGACAGGTCTCCCACGAGCTTGCCATCGGCATCGACGAGGGCGAGAGCGCTCACCTTGTAGAGGTGGTCGATCACCTGCGACACGCTGTCCTCGGTCGAGATCTTCTCGATCTGACGTTTGCTCTTGGTCTGGGCCGAGCCACGGCACACGACATTGCACACGCAGTGAGGATAAAAAGAGAATTCTCTCGCCAAGCAGAGGGCAGAGCTGCGTACGAGGCCGAGTGCATCGATCGTGGGAAGCGAGTTCGAGCCCCGGAGATCGGTGCCGAGCAGCTCGTTGAGGTGGGCCACGAAGAAGCGGAGCACGTCGGTCTGGCTCACCAAACCGCAGACGTTGCCCTTGTCGTCCTGCAGCGGCAGACGGTGCACACTAGACACAACACGGGTGTGTGTGTGAGAGAGCTCCCATAAGGCAACACAACGAACAAGCGGTCGAGTACCCACCCGCTCGAAAAGATCTGCATCAGCGCCGGCAGCGATGTGTCCAGCGACTGGGGCAGGAACGGGCTCATCTTGCTAAAGTCTGCACAGAGTACGCAGCCGCGGCAACAGACCATCGGCAGAATGAACTCAGCCACTCAGTCGGTCACACAAAGATACACACATCGCATTTTGCCAGCTACTCCGGGGCGGGCGTACTGACGATGCTCTTGAGTTCAATGTTGGGAAGCTGCTCGGGGAGCGCCTCGGTGGCGGGGAACAGGCTGGTGGAGGGTCGGCATACACAGAGCCACGTGTTCGCACAGAGAGTGTCACTACGGCTCGGCAGGGGTGAACGCGACGGACGGGCGGGGGCACACGCACCTCGCCACGTAGGCAGCCAAATCCAAGGCGGACACCATGCCCAGGTACTTCCTATTTTCGAGATCCAGGATGGGCACCTGCGCGCGAGCAGCAACAGTGCAGCCCAAGTTAAAAGGCCACCTTGGTGGGGGCGGGGCGGGGCGGGAGATAGAGCCCGAGAGCAAGGAGGGCGTGCGAACCGCAGTGATGCCGTTATCCTGGAGCGTCTGTGGCCGCAACAGCACACATAGAAAACGCGTGAGACTGGACCACACCCAGCACCGAGAGAAGGAATAATATATAAAAACAAATAATGAGGGGGGAGGGGTGGACCATGAGGCAGTGGTCAACAGAGTCGTGGGCTTCGAGCACGATGAGGCGCGCGTGGAAGGAAACGACGTCGCGGACAGTGGTGCGCGCGATGAGGGCGCGCAGCCGCAGGCCCACCTTGGCCGTGGCCAGAGGGCTGCCGGGAGGCGTGAGCGGTTGGAAATCTGCCAACTGTTCCCTCAACCGCTTCACCCACACATCCTCCTCCGAATCCGTGCTCTTCACCTCCACTTCCTCTTCTCCCTCCTCGGATTCAGCCTCCCTCTCATCCACAACCTTCTCTGGCTTGTGTCCTTCGCTCATCTCTGCTATCTTGTATTACATTTCAATTTTGATACTATTGGCATGATGTCGACAAAAAGTTCGCACGCAATGGAACGGCTGGTCACAAGCCCCAAGGGCGTAGGACTCGGGAGAGGCCTTGTTTGGCGGCGAGGTAGGAGAGGAGCAGGCCATAGTTGGTGATGGGTACGCCCGAGCCCTCGATGTCACTCAGCCGCGCGGCCATCTTCTGTTGGTCGAGCATGCACCCACCGCAGTGGATCACCAGCTGGTAGTCGTTGAGGATCTTGGTCTGATACTCGCGGCCGAACGCGTGGTCGACCCCGATTGTGCCCTCCCCGAAGCGTTGCCTCAACTTGGCCGGTATCTGCACCGTGCCGATATCGTCTTGGATTCTGGGCCGCCCGCGCAGAATATTAGCTTTCCACTAGGCACCGGGCTGCCAGGGTGATTAATACGAACCTGTCGTGGTTGCAGGCCTCACAGATTAGAACCTTGTCGCCGTGTTTGAGGGTCTCGAACCGCTTGATGCCCTCGACAAAGGCTGAGAGACGTCCGCCGCTCATGTAGTTGATCATCATCACGGAGAAGGTGGTGAGCGGGACGGTCTCCTGGCTACTCTGGCCGCCCTGGTCGCTGGGCGCTGCTGTGCCGGGCTCCATCGTCCACTTGTGTACCACGTCCGTAGCCTGGGAGTCGGTGATAAGGAGCTTCAGCTTGTTCTGACTCTTTAGCGCGTCGACACTGGACCTGAATCGCTGCTCCTCCTCCCTTCTCTCCTCCTCAATGGGCGATCGGGCCTTCTTGAGGTCCATTCGGTAACAGAAGGTGCTGGCTGCGCCGGTCACGAGGTTAGCCGCCCACGAACGAAACGGAGTGAAACGAAACAAAGCATACCATACTGGCGCAGGAGCTCTTCCTGCACCAGGGCCTGTGGTCGGAGGAGCCGGCCGCTGGGAGTCTCGGCGTCCATCGGAATGTTGAGGAACACGACCGAGTCTGGACCCAGCCTGCCGCCAAGAACCGGAGAAGAAGGCACATTAGTCGAAGTTGGCTTAGCGATGAAGGTTAGTAGGGCGCAGTACTGTAGCGCCGAAGGGAGCAAGCTCACGTTGCTCGAATGTGGCTTCGTGTTCGTTGTGACGAACTTGACCACCCTGCCCATGGCCTCGGGCGAGTTCAAGTCCAGGGCAATGCTCGTGATCTGTGGAGAAATCAGATGTTCTGATGCTGTACGGTAGGATTTCCAATCAGACGTCGTGAGCAACTCACCTGAAGGCTCGTTCGGTCGGGTGTGAGGCTCTTTTCGGCAGCGTCCAATATGGTATTGGTGGCCTTCCTTATCTCGGCCATCTGCTGCCCGAACACATTGAACACCACCATGACCCTCATCTGCGCAGAGTCGTCTCCCTGGGAGTCCATCGAGGCATTGACACGGTCAGGCACAAGCAGGAAGGGTTGGGGTTGGGCAACATTACCTTCTTTTGCTTGGCCGACGCCTCTTGGATCACATCCCTGGCGGCCTCGAGCGAAGCCGGGTTGAAGGGATTGACAACGACCACCGCTGCGTTGCACTCCTATTGGTGACCGGTACCACATTGTATCAGATGAAAGGATGCCTGCTTTGGCATGGGCATGGTGGCCAGTACCTTGAGTACGTCGAAGGCCTTGCGCCTCTTCTTTTCGCCTAGCAGCCCCTCTTCGTCGATGCCGGGCGTGTCGAACAGCTTCACCGGGCCCAGGTCATGCATTTCCATCAGCGCAACCTGCACTCCCACCGACCAGTTAGGCTGCCGTGAGGCACCACAGCCGGTGCGGCCCCTACTGACCTTCGTGTCGGCCGTGGTGCCTGGCTTGCTGTCAACGATGGAAGTCTCCTGCTGCGAGATCAGGTTCATCAGCGTCGACTTGCCCGAGTTCATCGCCCCGAAGATGCCTGCACAGTCACGGGACAGCACCTTCATGAGCTTTGTGGGGGCGGGACGGGGCGGAGTAGGTGGCACCAATGTTTGTGCGTAGGAGAGGCTGTCCCGCATATGCCCGCGACAAGCTTGCTGCGTGCTTTGGTGGTATACCACAGACCGTTCCCACCGCTCTCTTCGTCATCGTCCGCTTCATGTTGGAGCTGATGAGACTCTGGGGCGGCGCCGCACAGTTGCCAGGCAAGCAACATGAAATCCCGAGGAAAAATCAGACAACTTGTTTCGATTGCTTGCGCATTTTCGGCTTTCGGCCAATGGGTACTGGATCTGCAAAAAAGGGGACAAAAAACCACGAGCCATTGTCACCGTCAACGTGAAGTCATGAAGAAGACGTTAGCTCCATTGGTGCAAAGGGATGTGTACCGCGTTATGTTGCTGCGACGTGGTCTGCACGACGCGGCGCCAGTCTCAGGGGGAAGCACGACAGACCTGCACAAGCTGCTATACTCGCCCCTGCTCACACCCGACGCCCCAGCTGCCGAAGACCCAGTTGCTGCGCGCAATGCCCTGCAAGCGGCACTTAGCCGGGTTCGTACACCACCCGCTTTCTGCGTGGGTGCTGGTGCTCCCTACTGAATACCCAGCGGTTGTGTAGGGCGGAAAGAAGAGGCCAGTCAACAGGCTGCACCTGCCCCTCGAAGAGAAAATCGGTATGCCACGACAGCCGCACCTCTTGTTCATCGTGTACCTGACATGGAGTTGCTGCGCAGCTCCTCTGGCGTCGTTGGTGGGTAGAGCTCTGACTCCCGGTGAGCCGCTGACTTTGGAGAAGGAACAGATCGTGCATATCCTGCAAACAGCTGATGAGGGTTTGGAAAACGTACGACCTCGGCTCTCTTGCCATCCTGTGATCTCTTTCTGATCTTATTCCACCCGATGCGCATCGATTGCACCCATAGGCACTCTACGACTACGCCGACACCGTGACGCAGCGCTACTTTGGCAAGAAGATCTACTTCAGAGGTGCCCTGGTTCACTGTCTGTGTCTCCTCCTGTTCATCTCGTAACGCCCCGCTCTCCGCAGGCATTGTGGAGTTCTCGAACGTCTGTACGAAAGACTGCTACTACTGCGGCATTCGCAAGCACATACAAGTGAAGCGGTGCGTAGGGCCGACGGAATGTGGTGAGTAGTGCGCAAAGGCAACTGATCCCACAGTTGATGGTTGGCTGCACGTGTGCAGATACTCGATGTCAAAAGAGGAGATTGTCAACTGCGCCATTTTCGCTTACGAGAGCGGCTACGGGTCGCTCATGCTGCAGAGCGGCGAGCTGCCCACGGACAAGCGACTCGCGTTCCTTGTTGACACCATCAAAGAGGTTAAGCGAGTGACCATCGAGAAGGACAAGGAGCGAAACGGCGTCAAGGAGGGCGTGGAGAACAAGAGCCTGGGCGTCGCCATCTCCCTGGGCGAGCTTACTAAGGTGAGCCTACAATCGCTACGTACCATCCTACTGCCTACTGCTTACTGATGGGCTGCGCAGGACATGTTCCGGTCACTGAGGGAAGCCGGAGCGCATCGGTACCTGCTGCGTATAGAGAGCTCCAATCCCGATCTCTACGCCAAGCTGCACCCGGCAGACCACTCGTGGCACAGGCGGGTAGAATGCCTTCGCGAGCTCAACGAGCTGGGCTTCCAGGTGGGCACCGGAGTGATGATCGGCCTGCCCGGACAGACCCTTGGCGACCTCGCACAGGACCTGCTCTTCTTCAAGTCCATGGACATCGACATGATCGGGTGTGAGCCCCCACCGTAACCTCTTCCAGAAGCTGCGTGCCAAGTGCTGACGGCGCGCATTCGATTGTGGGGATAGGATGGGGCCGTACATCTGCCAGAAGGACACTCCGCTGGGCAAGCTGTGGCAGGAGGAGAATTCCAACCTGGACACCAAGCGCTACAACGAGAAGCTCTTCCGGCTCAGCACCAAGATGGTCGCACTCGCCCGAATCATCTGCGGGGACGTCAACATCGCCGCCACGACCGCCCTGCAGGCCATCAACCCCCAAGGTCTCTCCCACCCACGACAGTTTTGGGGTAGAGTTGGAGGTGATGGCTGACATTCGCTCATATGGATATCAGGTCGGGAGGTTGCCCTGAACCAGGGCGCCAACATGCTGATGCCGATCCTGACCCCGCGCAAGTACCGCGAAGACTACCAGCTCTACGAGGGGAAGCCCTGCATTGACGAGGGCGCCGAGGAGTGTCGGTCGTGCCTCAAGAACCGCGTGCAGTGGGCCGGCAAGGAGCTCACCCTCCACGACTGGGGCGACCCGCAACACTTCTTCTCCCGCCAAAACATCCCCACACCCACCAGACAATAACCACCAATACCACCTTACCTTAGTATGTCAATACTGGCTACATGGCCGCCGGCCCGTTGTGGTTGCGTGGCGGAGCCCGGAGGCATGTGACGCAAGCGAGATCTCGCTTCCCGCCCAAGGTCAAGGTGGTGAACGCTGCGCACACTCAGAGGAGCTTGGGCCAGGGGTGGAGTGCTGGAATATCGGTCGAAACAGTTCGCGGATTTGGCCCACAGAAGAATTCCTGAACGGGGGGGGGGTAACGATACAACAACGGAACGCGCTCCATCTCTTTCGATCGTTTTCGCGCAGTCTAATCGGGCGTGGGAGAAAGTTCATTTCATCACACAAATCGAAGAACGAACACACACTACACAGCTTGCTCAAGATGCCGCGCAAAAAGCAGACCGGTACGTCGATGCTTGGCTCTTGCTCGCTCTTCGCTCTCGGGCGGAGTTTGACCAGCCAAATCAACCATTGGGTTTGTAGAAGGTAATGCTTACGGATGGATCACAACAATCACTGTTAATAATCCACAGGACGGAAGGCGAGGGATGAGGCCGTAGACGGAGAAGATGGTGACCAGCGCATTGATGATGAGCAGGTGGATGACGAGACGCCCACCTCCGGCGGACTCGAAAGCGTCGAGGCGGCCATCGATCAGCTGCTGGAAAGCAGGTACAGAGCCCTATCCCTCTCCAATATCGCCCATCTACAAACTCGCGTTCATCTTTGCACATTGTTTATTTATTTTACAAAATAAAGGACCACCACTCGCGAGAAGGCTCTCCAGGAAGTCAAAAAGGGCCTGCAGCTCCACTACGCCTACGACCTCGTCGAGAAGTGGTACACTCTCCTCACGCTTCAACAACCACGTCCTGGTATAGCTGCGGGTGTCTCGGGTGCTGATGATGGTAACGACCGTGGCTGCACACAGGAGGACTACGCTGTCGGAGGGCATCATGCGCGGCCTGAAGAAGGGCAGGGAGGCCGAGTTCAAGCTTGCAGCGCAGCTCCTCGACGTGGTCGTCCTCACGCTGGGCGCCGAGAGCGAGGAGCTCTACGCCGAGTTCAGCCCCGTGCTCTCGGTCTTCATCAAGGACCCCACCGCCTCGTCGGTCGTTCGCTCAGTGGTACGAGCTCTCACACCTCCGCCCGGTTGTGTGTGTGTGTGTGTGTCGTGTGTGTGTGTGTCGCTCACTCGGTTCGTTGCAACGTACGCAGGCGGCCACGTCGTTCGCGCTGTTGACGTTCGTGGGCTGCACGGACCAAGTGTCGATCAAGGAGAACGTCAAGATGCTGGAGGAGACCTTCACTGGCACCCACTCGACCGCCTTCCTCCCCGCCGTGTTGCGCGCGTGGGGCCTCCTCCTGTCCACGATGCCCGTCAAGTACATCGAGACCGAGGCGCTCCCCAAGTACGGCAAGAAGCTGGTCGCCCTGCTCGACCTCGACGAATTCGAAGCCCGCCTGGCCGCCGGCGAGATCATCGCCCTCCTCTTTGACGTGCTCCAGGAGGCCAAGGAAGACGCCGAGGAGGAGTTCGATCTGGCCGACTACGAGTCGTGTCTGGACATCGACGACCTGATCGACAAGCTGAAGGAGCTGTCGGCCACCTCGGGCCACCACATCTCCAAGAAGGACAAGGCCAAGCTCAAGTCCTCCTTCAAGGACATCCTCCGCTCGGTCGAGGTATCAATATGCCCCCAATTTGCCCCCCCCCCTCCAGCACGCTTCGCCTTTCGCTAATCACCTTCACCGTCTGACAACGAACAGTCGGGGTCGGTGCCTACGGAGACCATCACTGTGGGCAGCACCAAGGTGGAGTTCCATTCGTGGGAGCGTCTCGTGCAGCTCAACTTCGTGCGGCAAACGCTCGCCGAGGGCACGCTCGTGCATTTTGAGGTATTCTCCCTCCACGGCGCGCCTGCTTTGCAAGTGAAGAGCTAACGCGCGTTGGCGGCGGTGATGGTGGCTTGGCAACAACAACAGAGCAACGAGCTGCTGCAGCAGATCTTCGGCTTCACGGCCACGACCAAGGCGCAGAAGCCCCAGTACTCGAAGCTGGAGAAGCGGCTCTACCTGTCGGCCAACAGCGCCGCGGCCAAGGACCAGACCCTGGCCATGCGCCGCTCGCGACAGAACTTCGGCCGCGAGTCCAAGACCAGGCTCTTCGCCCGTGACGAGGAGGACGACTGAGTCGTCAGCGACCGGCCGTCATCATCCGCGTCAACGTGGCCCGTTGGCTTTCAAAGGAGTGGACATCGCCACGGGGGGGAGAAAGAGAGGTGTAAATACTAAGTGGGAATAAATCCTGGTCTCAAAATGAACCCCAATAATCGGTCCAGCATGTGTCTCGCTGCGGTGGTCGCCGCCCAATGTGCCCAGGAATATGTGCAGGCGCAGTACATCAAGCTGCGCCACCGTGCACGCCAGTTGATCAACGCTGGATTCACGACCAGACAGCTGTGGAGAAGGCGAAGGCAAAGACAGAGTTGCACACGAACGAGGTGATCCACCCGGTGCTTAATGCATGGTCTGAAGCTGACGGCCATCCACAATAGGTTGAAGGCCTATCAGATGCGTGACATCATCACCAACTCCATATCGCCAAGAGAACCTCCTTGTCCAGATCAACGTCCATGGTTTCCATCCACATGGGGCATTGTTCAGTTATCGCGTTGGTTGGGCATGTCTTCTCAGGTGCCTCCGGAGCGCGAGTACGGCTGATGGGCGCAGGTGTTTTGCTTTAAGACTGTTTATTGTCCACCGGCTCCAGAAGCAGAGGCGGAGCTGAGCATGTTGTTGATCTTCTCGGTCTGCTGCTGCTCGCAGTACTGCAGCAAATCCCACAGATTGGCCCTGAGCCACCTACCCCCGAGCACTCGGTTTTCCCTCTTGCGTTGCTTGACCGTTAGGGTGACTGACCGGAGGTCGATGAGCTCGCTGAGAGTCAGCTGCTGGAGCCTCTCCATCACCAAGCCGAAGTCCCCCAGGTTTTCCAGCTTCTCGCGCAATTGCTTGGCCCGCTCCAAGTCGTGGAAGTGTAGCAGAGGCACGTCCTTCGGTAACGACGTGAGGATGGCTCGTTTATCCGATAGTGCTCCCTCAAGAAGGCGACGTAGGACTTCACGAAGTGGTCGTGCATTCCCTGCGCTTTCGCTTCATCATACGCTTGGAGCTGGTCTTGCGGAAGACATGGCGCGCGAATCGTGCAGAGTACTCGGCGCCCTGCACGATGTGTCCGTGGCTGAGGAAGAGGAGCGTGCCGCAGTGGACGTAGGAAGGACGTCGTGGAAGGAACGGGATGAAGTCGTTGTCGTGGGTCAGCCGGAAGAACGCCACCCCGGCCGCTCGTGCGCGTAGTTCGGAGGTGAACTCACGGTTGCCCACCTTGGGCTGCCCGAATGTGTACACCCCTGCACTCCATCCATTCATTAATTCCAAAACGATGTGCGTGCAATGCTGGCGAGAGAGATTGACCATTTACAAGCGCGATGCACTCCTTGCTACTGCTGCTACTGCTGCCACTACCACTCTCATCCTCTGAGGTCTTCTCTCCAATCTGTCCCTCCCGAGCCACCAATGGCAATCTGCACATCACATTTGTTAGCTGGCCTTTGCTTCTACTAAATTGTGAAAGAGTTAGATATGCGTACGGCAGAGGGCAGGGAGAGGGGAAGCTGAGATAAGCGAGGCACAGGTTGGCCAGCGCACCGCCCAATGAATGACCTGTGACATACCTGTGACCACAGTGAGAACAACACCAATAAAGGTGGTACCAGAACGCAGTGGGGACAACAAGGATCGTTGTCCTGGGGGAAGTACAGGGGGAGGGCGGGATTGGCAGAGCGAGCCTTGTTGATGAAGGCCACAATCTGATCCCAGAGTGACAAGAGGGCCATGTCGTAGCCCCGATGCACCATCACGTTTGGCCAACCAGGGAAGGGCGCAATCTACAGGGACCACAGAAGCTCCTTAGCCCCACAACTGGAAATGAGCTAATGAGGCGGGGTGCAGATCGTGCCTTGGCGGCCATGGTGTTGGTAGAGCAGTCCCTGATGGATTCCGTGCCTCGGAAACAGATCACGATGCACGCTTTACCGTACATCCCAAACCCCTGCGTGTCGGTTGCTGCGTCATGGAAGAACGTCATGTCCTCCCACACTGCCTGCCACCCAATCACGCACAACCCGTGCTTAGCAGAGCAGGGAGGTGGAAGTGGAGATGGGGAGCGGGGTACGCCATATGCTGGTGACCACATGTCTGATCTGGGCGGGCGAGCGGTAGGCGAGCGCCGCAGCGGTGGCCAGCCACAGTGCGTGGTTGGGGTTGTACGCTGTCTTGTCTGCGCCGATGACACAACAATAGAGAGTTGATTTATTTGTTAATTAAATAAAGAAAAAACTGGTTTTCAATAATAACAATAACAAACAAGGTACCTCGAAGGCCGATGGTGTCGAAGGGGGGCAGGTCGCCTCTCGCGTACCTGACGCCGCACCATTCCACGGCATCCTCGCTCCAACCCACCACCTCTCCTTCCTCTCCGCAGGGCTGGGCGGTCCCTTCCTCCACTATCTTTACGGGTCCGCTCTTCCGCCCGGAAGGAAGGGCGATTCGGCAGGCAACGCTCCACGCACGTCGTGCTAGGGCCTTGAAGGGGTTGGCGCCGACCTTCGCCATGGCCGGTGTTTTCTCATCCTCCTTCCTCCTCCTCTTCCCCCACGCCTTTGCGAAGGAGGCAAGGGGGGTTTTGTTGAAACGTGTTTCGCGTTGAAGGAGGGAGGCGGCGAGGAACCTCCGCAAGTTATCTTCGAAGTCCTCCTCTCCTTCTGTGCGTTGTGGCCGCTCCTTCTCCGCCTCCCCGCCGGCTCCCACCTCCCGCTTTAGACCGAGAGAGCGTAAGAGGTGCATTTCCTCTGGCCGAGTGTTGTGCTTATCTGGTGGACACAGCGCGCGGGCACCGCGCAGCTGAAATCCAAAAATTGTGGACTTTGACTGCCAAAATGCCCAAGAAACGGTGTGCTGCTGGGCCAAAACTCTAGAGGCGTTCACTCCCTCCCATAGCTATTCAAAATGCCAGAGGCAAAGAGAGAGCGAAATTGATTGTTGATTTATTTTAGCTGGGCTGGGTCGCGCAGCTGGGGTTGAGGAGCTGCTTGCTCTTCACGAGGCTCGCTCGTCGGCGCTGTCGGTGGTGGAGGGCGAGGAGCCGAGCGAGAGCAGGGCGGGGTCGATCTCGTTGATGGCGCTGGTGGCCTTCTCGTTGTTCTCGGCGAGGTCGGCCAGGACGTGGCGGGCAAGCTCGAGCACGGGGCCGTCCGAGTTCTTGTAGAAGGCGACGACGTGCTCGAGGCCGCTGGGCTGCGGGCCGGTCTTCTCGATCAGGGCGTCGATGAAAGGCTGCACCTCCTGCGGCTGGGTGTGTTTCCTGGCGAGGATCTTGAGGGTGGCCTGGAGCACGGTGGAGACGTGGTCCACGCTCTGGGAGAGGGAGAGGAGGTTGTTGAACGCTTCAGCAGTCTCCTTCGTCGCGATCTGCGCCAGCACCTCGGGCGCGCAGTCCACAGCAAAGAGGCCAACCAGGTTGAGCAGTCGCAGGCAGAAGTCGATGTTCTCCACCGTCGCGCTGGCCGTGAGCCTCTGCACGGCCTGCTGCACCAACCCCTCCTGCGTCGTCAAGGCCCTGTTGTTCGCGTTGTGCACCAGGTTGATCAACACTCGCGTCGTCTGTGCACACGTGGAACACACACACACACACACACACGATACAGGTGAGAGCGCGTTTCAGGGCGAGGAGCGAACCAACTCAGCGACATCGTGCTGGGTGTACCTGGAAGAGCACGGAGGGAGAGGTGTGCGGAGAGGCAAACATCTCGGTGAGCTGCTTGAGGCCACCCGTTTCGCGGATGACGTCCTCGATCACGTCCTCGAGGCTGAGATTGAGAAGGCAGCGCAGGATGTGCTCCTTGATCCTATCCTCCGTGTGCTCGAGAAGGTAGAACAGATCCGACACGGTGCTCGCTCGGCCCAACACCAACCGATTTTCTTCGTTGATCGCGAGATTGGCAACCACGCGCGTGAGATGGAGAAGCAGCACATCGTTGTCTGGATGCTGTACCATTGAGATTCAGGAATCAGCACTTATGGTTCGTTAAAATCTCGAAACTGCCCCTCAATTGCAGCATATTAGAAACGATGTTGGGACAAGGGGGGCACCTGAGCCAAAATTTGCAGCAGAATCTCGAGCACGCCTGTCTGGCGGATGCTGTCGTGCTTCTTGGGGTAGCGCGAGTACTCATAAAGCTGCTTGAGCGCCACCGTTTGCTGGGGCTCGGACGACCGCAGGGACTTCAAAATGTCATCGTACTCGCCGGGGGGAGATTGCCAAGCGTTCGCCGCTCTCGTTCGGCGCCGCAGGAGGTACAAAACGAGGCCGCTCACCACCGCTCCGCCAACAATCAGCCAGCCCTTCGTCGACAGCGGCCACCACGACGAAGAAGAGGAGGAAGAGCTGCTCGCCTGGGTCGAAACCACCACAGATGTGGGTACAGCCACTGCCCTTGTGTCCATCTTTGTGTGATCTTGTTGTTGTGCTGTTTGTTCCAGCAACAAATAAATGGCCCTCCAAGGGTGCCGAGATAAATCCGGACGCCCCCCGCAGCGTCTGTTGGTCAAGAAGAAGAGGGTGGGAGAAGAACATGCACTGGTCGGTGCCTGAGGCATATGGAATAGAGGTCCCGCCTGCGGTGAGGTCGCACTCAGCTACTTTGGTTGGGAGCAAGGTGCTGGTGCTTGGCGGTGGACATGAGGATAAGCTGACTATGTCAGCCTTCGACACAGGTGCACCTCACCCTGCCACCCCAATGGCCTGCATATATCTCACCACAACCCATAACAGAAACGCTGTTCTGGATAAAGCTTACGACATGGGGACCAGAGCTGCCTCCTCACAGAGCCCACACCGCCACATTGGTGGGGAAGAGTCTCTACGTCTTGGGCGGAGGGTCTGGAGCGGAGTACTACGACACTGTGCATGTGCTCAACACAGGTGAGTCATGTCATAGGGGACGTGATGTAAGTGGCGCTTACCAACTTGTCCCCAAGCGAACTTACCAACACCTTTCTGTTGTGCGGACAACAGAAACGATGATTTGGTGGCGGCCACCAGTCACTGGACAAGGCCCTGGCCCGCTGCGAGCACACACAGCAACTGCCGTGGGCAGCAAGATCTACGTGTTTGGAGGAGGCAACGGAAGCTCTGTCAGTAGCCGGGTCTTTGTGCTTGACACAGGTGAGAGCGAGTTGTTGCAACTGAAGGCCTTGGGTAAGGAGACCATCACACGAACAGAAACACTGACCTGGAGCCAGGTCAGCTGCCACGCTAAGCATCCCAAGGACCAACCGGGCCCGCGAGCTTTCCACACTGCCACGTTGCTGGACAACAACCGGATACTGGTCTTTGGAGGGACAGATGGCCAAAGCTGCGTCTCTCACGTGCACGTACTCAACACCGACGCGCAGGAATGGAAGCGAGTCAAGCCATACAACGCCCGCACGGTATGGCCACGCTTGGGGCACACCGCCACCCTTGTGGGACGCATGTTGTTGGTGTTCGGCGGATACGATGGCTGTGACTACGTGAACGAAATCCACATGCTCGACTTAGGTACTAGCATCCACTCTCTACGTTGCTGGCTTCAAGGTTTCTGACTTCAGGGTTTGTAGACACGATCGAATGGGTGCAGGTGCCTCCAATCTCGGGCAAGCCTCCGCCCCCCAGAGCCTACCATGCTGCCACCTTCCACGACTCCCGGGTCTTTGTGTTCGGGGGCTGCGATGATGAAGCGTGCCACTCCGACATGCACCTTCTCGACCTCGGCGTAACGAGCTATCTCAGCGTGCCCCCGTCGGAGCGCTCCCGATACACGCCCAGGAACTCCTTCAGCACCCCCACCACCACTCCGCGAACCGGTTCTGCCGCTACGCCTCGCCTCAAGGAGCCCTCCTCCTCCGCTGGCTTGCCCGACTCGTCGTGATTGCCCCCTTTTGAGGGAGTGGTCAATGTAAACCTCTTTCGCGGAAAAGCAGAACAAGTAAAGCGGTGATGTGGCAGCACCAACATAGAAGAAGAAGGTGCCGGCATGGAAGACAGAGCAGAGCCTGAGGCGATAAGCGTTTACGCACACAACACCTACCTGCTGCCGAGCGTGATGGTGGCGGTGACGTCGGCCAACAAGTCCTGCACCAACCAGCACGTGCGCGCGGCCTGCATCGGGGAGGAGGCGGGCCGGCACGACGTGGTGGCCCTACAGGAGGTGTGGGGCAGCCAGGTGGACAAGCTCGACACCGCCCTCCGCCCCACCCACAACATCGCGGACGGGTGCCAGAGCGTGGGGTCGTGGGGCTTCGGCCTCGGCATCCCCTCCGTCATCGACACCCTCCGCTTCACCTACAACTGCAACGGCGGCCTCTGGTTTGCTCAGCACAAGGCACCCACTGATCTTATTTTATAATTATATAATTATATAATTATATAATTATTTGTTTAATTTTTATCATGTTTATTTTAACCACACCATCCAACGGTTTGCGCAGGACCTGCCTTGCGTTGTTTGGCGGCGGCACACGTTCAGCGTGAGCGAGACGAAGTCGAAGAAGGGTGTGACAGCGGCTCTGCTGGACATGAGCTACCGCTGGGGACAGGGACGCCACCTGCTCTTCCTCAACACCCACCTCGATCCGATGAATCCGGACTCCAAGATCGCTCAGGTCCGAGAGTTACGCCAGGTACCCACCCAAGCCGCAGTGCGCACTTCAAGCGTTGGCTGACTTTAATCTGCTGCTTCCGTTCGCAGTTTCTTGTGAGCTTCTGCGCGGAGATCAGTGACCAGGTCGAGTTGCAGAAGATGGCGGTCATGCTGGTGGGCGACTTCAACATCGCCTCCACTGACAGGGCTTACCGCACGGTCAAGAAGATACTCGGTACGTACGCGGTCGACGACAGCAGGTGCTGAACAAGGTTCACCAGCACTCACGTGAATGACGACGATCAGGAGCTCGGGACCTCTACGCGGAGTATGCCCAGAGGGCAAGCGCCGATGAAGAGGAGCACTACACCTACGACTGCCAGGAGAACTCGCTGGTGATGTGGCAAGAGCGTGGGCGCATCGACTACGGCTGGGCGCTCGACGGCCTGGAGGAGGAAGACGTGAGCTTCATGCCACTCGCCGTCGACAGCGTTGAGCTGACCAAGCAGGAGCGCGGCGCCGAGTGGTCGGACCACTGGGCGCAGGTGTTCCGCGTTCGCCCGAAGTGAGCCAACGTATTTGAAATAGTTTTTTATTTTATTTTATTTGTATTTGTCTTCTCGGTTTATTCTTTGTCGTGCGAGGCGCACCTGAAAGAGAAGGCAGCAGAAGGAGAAGGAGAAGAAGATGGCGGCTTCCGTGACCCCCTCCCTCATTGCTGAGTATGAGCATCTCCTCGGCCAGATGATGATCCCCAACACCGAGGTGGTGCGCGCCGCCGGAGCGGAGCTCGAAAATCGGCTCAAGACCTCGGCAGCTGCGATTGCTCTCCTCCAATTGATCATCAACCACCCTCAGATCCAGGTACTTAGTCCCCCTACCTGCAGATTGAGTTCAATTGGCCTTCAATTCAATGGCTTCCGATTAATCTCAAATCGCGATTTCTTTATCATTTCCTCCATCAACGCGTTCGCTGTAGATTCGGCACTTGGCGGGCATCATTTTGCGCATGAAGGCCGTCAGTTTGTGGGCCAAGATGGACGCCGAAGCACAGAAGCTGATGAAGGACTCCCTCCTGCAAGCTCTCGTCCGCGAGCCGCAGTACGCCCTCCTTTCCCACCATCCGCCGCGGCTGCACGGTTGGCATGACGTGGTGCTCATGCTGTGCGTGCGTGCGTTTGTGCCTGTGCGTGTGCTGGCTCGGTACACAGAAAGCCGGTGAGGAACGGCATTGCGGACGTGGTGGGCATCGTGGCGCGCATCACTGTGCCGTCCAACGCGTGGCCGGAGCTGCTCGACTTCCTCTTCCAGTGCACCAACAGCCAGAACGTGGAGCACAGGGAAGTGGGCATGAAGCTGTTTGATTCCCTCACGGACAACATCGGCGACATCCTGCGACCACACACCAAGACCCTCTACAATATCTTTGCCAGGGGTCTCACCGACTCGGACAACAACGTTCGAGTTGCTTCCCTCAAGTGCGTTAACGCCTCACCATCGCCAGACGCCTTTGGTTTCGTACTTCACCTGGTGTTCACTCTATATGCTGCACATCACAGGGCCGTGGGATCGCTCGTGGATTGGGTCACCACCGACGAGGAGATCGTACGAACTCTCAACACACACACAACACACAACACACACAACACACACAACACACCCACACCCACACCTCACATTATGCTTCGCAGAAAGCGTTCGGCGACCTGCTGCCGTCGATGCTCCACATTCTCAGCCACTGCCTCCAGAACGGACTCTACGACGAAAGCACGTGTGCTTTCGAAATTTTCAACGAACTCATCGAATCGGTATCGTTCCCCACGCACTCCTCACTCCTCAGCTGTGCTTGTCATGCAATTAGGGCTCTCGTTCTCTTACACGCACTCTTTCCGTTGCTTCTAGCCTCTGCCCGTCGTGGTGCCGCACATCGTCACCCTGACGCGGGCCATGCTCGAGATTGGCGCCAACCGCAGCATCGATCTGTCCGTCAGGGAGATGGCACTCACTGTTGTCCAGTGGATCACCTCCTAGTGCGTCTCTCCCTTCACTCCCTTCACTGCAGCGACGCATGTTGTTGTTGTTTGGTGGTGTGGCCAACTGACTTCTTTTCTCTCATTTCCTCGGGCTTTTATCACGTGCAGCAAGTCCAAGGCGTTGACACAGAACCAGCTGCTCATTCCGAGCTTGCAGGTGGCTTTCGCCATGTGCAACGAGTTCTCCGAGGAGGAAGAGGACGACGACGACGATGACGACGACGGCATGTACCTGCCCGCCCACGAGTTCGGCGCGCAGATGATCGACCACTTTTCTCTCACACTCTCCGCGAAGAAGGTGCACCCTTGCTTGCGTTTCTTTTTCTTCCGTTGGTCACATGCTCACACTCCCAACGTTGTTCGTTCGTTCCTTCCCAGATCTTCCCGCCGTGCATCGAATTCGTGAAGCACTTCCTCCAGTCTTCCAAGCCCAACGAGAGGCGGGCTGCCCTCACCGTTCTCACGGTGCTTGCCGAAGGCTGCGCCGACGCGATGAGCGAGAATCTGGCGCCGCTCCTCGAGTTCGTGTACCGGGGCTTCTCCGACCCTTCGCAGAAGGTCAGGGAGGCGGCCTGCATCTGCATTGGCCAGTTCGCCGGTACCGCATAACTGTGCTACCCAGCACCAGCGTTGGAATTCGGACCCTCGCTAACCGTCTCTCTCCGTTCCTTCTCAGCTCATTTGGTCCCCGACATCATCGACTACCACGAGAAGGTGCTGCCGATGCTGATCCAGTGCCTGCAGGACACCAACCGCGAGATCATTGTCAAGGCCTGCTATGCGCTTGAGTCCTTCGTCGGTCCGCTGGGTACGCGCCTCGTCTGTGGCTCCTCTCTACTACATGAATCTTTGTGGCACATGAGGACCACCAACTTCATTCTTGACAAAGTCCATGAGAGAATCATCATATCTAACGCTATTCTGAAACATGCACCAACATATTTATATATCGCAATTATTTTAGTTTACACAGCCATGGGTAACTAATTCGTTCACCGACTTTTTTTTTGTTTATCGCAGATGAGCAGGTGCTGCCGTACCTCGACGCGCTGACGACCCGGCTGCTGGAGCTGCTCGGCTCGGCCGATATCGAGGTGCGCGAGATGGTGCTGCCGGCCCTCTCCGCTCTGGCCGAGGCGGCCGACAGGGCCTTCCTCCCCTACTACCCCAAGACCATGGAACTGGTCCAGGCCATGATGAACCTGGTACGCGTACACCCATGCGCCTCTCTTCCCGCCAAGGGGCTTCCGCTCCTGACTCATTGCGTGAACGTTTGTGAAATTCCAGGACAAGAACGAGCACCTGAGCTTGCGATGCCGAGCGACAGAGTGTGCGGGTATCCTGGCCACTGCGGCCGGCAAGGAAGTGTTCCAAGTACGCTCCTTTCCCACACTCTCTTCTCGTCGTTGTGTTTATCATAGTGCACACTCATGCCCCCCCCCCCTTTCATCACCGCTTGCGCAGCCCGTGGCCGAGCTGTTGGTGCACCTCGCCTGCGAGGGCATGAAGCTCGAGGATTGCGAGCTGCGCGAATACACCCACGGCTTCTTCGCCAACGTGGCCGAGTGCCTGGGCTCCGACTTCAAGAAGTACCTCCCGCTCGCCGTGCCCCTGGCCTCCGCGTCGTGTCTCTCCGACGAGGGCCTCGTCTTCTACAAGGTCTCCCTCCCCCAGCTTCTCTGGTATTCGTGGAATGTGGTGCTCAAAACCGGGGTGTACCGCACCTACCTGCAGGAGACGGGCGAGGACATTGCCGGCATCACCGAGGACTCGGAGTTCGCGCAGACCAACGTGGGCGCGCCGGAGGCCTACTTCGACGAGAAGTCGTCGGCCACGCGCGCCCTGGGCGAGTTTGCCAAGCACACGGGGGCCGACTTCATGCCCTACCTCCCGAAGACCATGGAGGTGCTGGTGGAGATGTCCAAGTTCGGCTTCACCGATGTACGCAAGAACGCCATCGGCAGTCTTACGGGTACGTTACCGCTTTGGCACCACCCTAGGCCCACCCACGGTCCGCCCATATGTGTGAGGGTTGTTACCTAACCATGGCCACTGTGTCGTCTACCATCGTGCAGAATTTGTGGAGGCCACGCACAAGGCGTTCCCTCCGGCGCAGCCGATCCAGATGGGCGTGTCGGCGTCGCAGCAGCCGCCTCTCCCCGAGCAGACCCGCCACGTGCTCGAGACCACCCTCAAGATCCTGATCCACGCGATGGGCCACGTACGTTCGGTTGCATTTGTTTCCGATTGGTCGTTTATATTATTTTTATAAGCTCACACCAATCGGACACCGACCACAACCACACAGGATGAGGACAAGACGGTCGTGTCGCGCGCTTGCTCGGCCTACGGCGTCGTGGCCAAGCTCGTGGGTCCGCCCGGCATTGAGTCGAGTACGTTGCTATCTACCATCCCTAACCCAGTGCGCCCAGCTTCGCGACAGTCACTCACTCCGTCCGCAATCTGTCCACAGCGTTCCCCAAGGCCGCTGCTGCGCTCGAGGCCGTGGTGAAGGGCAGGGCGACCTGCCACAAGGTCGAGCAGGAGGAATTCGAGGACGAAGATGTATGCGCGCCTCTCTGCCATTTCGTTGGCTCACCACGCCGTACATGTGGGACGACCGACTGACCCAGTGAATCGTAATCGTGTTCGTCGGTGGTACCCGTGGTGCCCGTCAACAAGGTGGCCGAGGAGAGGGAGGTGGCTTTCATCGATAACGTGGCCGACTGCCTGATGGACGTCGCTTCCGTGTATGGACCCTACTGGGAGCCCTACTTCAAGAAGCTCCTCCCCAGCCTGATGGACTATCTCGTACGTCGCGTCGCTCAACCTTGACAACACACACACACACACACACACACCAACTAACACATTTACTTTGCTGGCATGCGCGCAGGAGAGGAGCCCGGACTTCACCGTAGTCATTGTGGGACTCCTGGCGGAGACTTCCAAGGCCCTCAAGCAGGCCGTCATTCCCTACCTCAAGCAATTCCTCCAGATCGCGCTCAAGGCGCTCGGCCACGACGAGGACCAGATCAAGCGCAATGCGGCCTACATGTGCGGCGCGCTGTGCCAGTCGGCCGGTGCCGAGTCCGTGCAGTACTATCAGGAGATTCTGCGACGGCTGGTCCCGCTCTTCGCCAGCACTGAGCCCGCGCTGTCGGACAACGCCTGTGGTGCTGCGGCGCGCATGATCCTCAATTCCCCCGAGTCCGTGCCGCTCGAACACGTACGCCTCCCCCCCTAAATAGGCCTATTCGCATCACACATCTCACCTCTTCCCCTCTCCTTATAGGTGCTGCCCCTGATGTACAAGGCGCTGCCGATCAAGGTTGATTTTGAGGAGAGCGAGAATGTGTACAACAGCATCTTCTTCCTCTTCAGCACCAACCACAAAGTGGTACGTCT